TGAGTTTAAAGCAACTTGTTTTAAAATTAGTGAACAACAGAAACAGGATTTTACAACCAACTGTGAGATGGTTTTATGCCTCAGTGGCAAGATTTTGGCTAAAAGAATCTGGAAATGTTAACTGATATCTTTTTCTTGAAGATCCTTACGAAACCTTAGAGAAGTAAAGAAAAGATGGCCAAAAAGTCAGTACTGGTATGTATAAAGATCACATGGTGTTATTGGCACTGGACATAATGGGGTTAAAATAAACTGGTACAGAAAATGTAAGAACTCAAGGGCTTATGAGGAATTCTTGCTGAAGAACATTTTCTTCAGTTAAAAAAGAGACACCTACATCTATTTTCAAATTCGCATTTTTTAAATAGTTTCCTTTAAAAAGATTTCTTTAGAGTTAATGTATGTTTATTCTTTAACTCTGACTAGATTTTTTCAAATAGTCTTGGTTTTCAATTTTTTTTTTTTTTTTTTTTTTTTTTTTGCAGAAAATGATTTATTTAGGCAGAGAGAGAGAGAAAATAATAGAGAAAGGAAGTGAGCTCCCACACTGTCATGTGAGGGGATCCCCAAGAGGGAAAGTCCCAGTTTTCAAAATTTTTAAAAGCTTTTTAAAAGAACCAATATGCCCTCCTATGCTTGCTTCTCGGTTTTGAAGGTAACCCTAAGATGCACATCAACATTTTAAGAGATTTGCTCAATCAAAGGTTAAGATGCATATAAACAGTGAAAGCATATAGACTTAAACAATATTCACCATCTGTCATCTGAAAGGTGGTATCAATTATGGCTGCTGCCCAACCAAGGAACAAAAGAAAATCAGATGGCAACATCAGGCATTATTCAAATGGAAAATGTGGCTTTTCACTTCTCTAAAAACTTAAAACACAAACATAGCAGAATAACAATATCTTTTATATGAATATTGAAGTAGTTACTTATTGAGGTACTTATCTGAAAATAATTAAAGCTAATACATGTCAAAAAATGATAAAGTACTTCAAAAAAACAGAGGATGACAATTCAAGCTAAAAGACTAAAAAATTCCAGCTATTACTGGAAATAATCACATGAAAAGAAAAAAATAGAGAAATGTTTTCTTGTCTTGGTAAACTGTGTGCCTACGTGCACACTTCACTCAGGTATGGCCAAGATCATCAATCTTGTGAACAAATCAAATAAAGTTCTTCACAAAGAACCATCTAAAGGATGTTTTCTTTAGCTGAAAGCTAGTTAAATCAGAGTTACTAAGTACAAAAGGCCAAAGAAAAATATAAATAGATACATTTAGCTTTAGATTTTTTAAGAATTTGTATTCTCAGATCATCATTGTTTAAGTTAAAACAAGTTTAACCCACAAAGCAATTTTTTTTTTTTTAAGACAGGGTCTCACTCTGTCACCAAGGTTGGAGTGCAGTGGCATGATCTTGGCTCACTACAACCTCTGCCTCCAGGCTCAAGCAATCCTCCACCCTCAGCCTCCTGAGCAGCTGAGACTAAAGGTGTGTACCACCACACACAGCTAATTCTTCTATTTTTCTGTAGAGATGGAATTTCACCCTGTTGCCCAGGTTGATCTTGAACTCCTGAGCCCGAGCTATCGTCCCGCCTTTGCCTCCCAAAGTGCTGAGATGACAGGTATCAACACCCAGCCGGCAAATTATATTTAAGCAGTGAATACAACTGTGAAAGATATGAATAGAAAAATAAAGGAGCTAGAAAGAAGTACATTAAAATCAAATATGACTTTCAAAATTAGCAAGTATTTTCTGTGTTCTAAAGTTTCTATAATGCTATATTGCTTTTATTAGAAAATGAAAACAAGCAACAGTACTTTTTAAATCAAATTTCTGAATGTTTTGCAAAAATGCATAAGGAATGATGAACAATCACATTGTTCATTGTAACAATGCTTATCAGCAATCATATTGTTTGTTATAACAACATTTGTAGTAGTGAAAAATGAGAAACCACCCCAAAGTCTCCTTTCCCAAGGGAAGGGACAAGTCACTTGTGGTAATATTTACACAATGAAATACTTGAGTGAAGTGAAAATGAAGTATATATGTTGACAGGGATTAATTTTGTAAACCAATGTTAAGCCAAAAAAGTATGTTGCAAAAAGGCCACACAGATTAAGATGACCTTTATAAAAATGTTTAAAGCGTACAAAAGACTACTGTATATTGTTTTAATGATAAATATATACATGATAAAATTATTAAGATACAAAGGAATCATAACCTCACATTCATAACAGGTTACTGCTAATGTGGTGGAAGAAAAGATAAGAAATGGTTATCTATATCCCCCTTTCATAGTTACCTGGCTTTAATACCAACTTTCCAAACTCTGTTGTATACACTTCAGTGTTTCTTCTGTGTGTGAATATATGCAATACATACACAAACATGTGACTTCCTTTTCCACTCAGGATGAAATCTGAAAGTCCTGGAAGAGCGGACCCCAGGCCCTCTGACCTCCTGTCCAGTTACTGTCTTCTCATCCACACCCTCCCTCTGGGTGACCTCCTCGTACCCCGGAACATGATCGGTACAGTCCAGAACCTCCCGCAACTGCTACTCTTCCTGCAACACTCTTCCCTGCTCCATATCCGTACGACTGTTTTACTGGTAAGATGTCACTGCAATGTCACCTCACAGGAGAGGCCTTCCTTGACCAGCTCACACAGAATGCCCCCTTCATCCTCTACTCGTTTTTCCGGATTGACATTTTCTTCTCTGTAGCCTGATGGTTGGCTCTGCGGCATTAGGAATGTACGTCCTGCCTTCTCTCCCAGAACTTTAGTTCTATGAGAACAGGATTTTGTTTGTCTTGTTCACTCCTGTACAACATTACCTAGACCAGGACTGGACATGAAGGAGTTCAAGACTAGCTGATCAAAAGCACTGTGGATTTCATTCGAGACATATTTTGAACCACCTTTAAAATGTATTCTAAAATTCATTTTAGTAAAACATATGCAACTTTTATGTTATTGAATACTTTTCCTAAATACCATCTTTAAAGCCACACAGTGTTCCAACATGTACACAGGACACAGCAGAGTTTCGAAATCTACTGTTAGACATCTGACTTTTTTTTATTTTTTGAGACGGAGTTTCGCTCTCGTTACCCAGTCTGGAGTGCAACGGCGCGATCTCGGCTCGCTGCAACCTCCACCTCCTGGGTTCAGGCAATTCTCCTGCCTCAGCCTCCTGAGTAGCTGGGATTACAGGCACGCGCCACCATGCCCAGCTAATTTTTTTTTTTGTATTTTTAGTAGAGACGGGGTTTCACCATGTGGACCAGGATGGTCTCGATCTCTTGACCTCGTGATCCACCCGCCTCGGCCTCCCAAAGTGCTGGGATTACAGGCTTGAGCCACCGCGCCCGGCCGACATCTGACTTTTTAAAATATTTATAATGGACATTCTTCAGACTTTGTGATCAATCATTATTTCTTCAGGATAAATTCCTCAAGTGAAAATGCGGAATCCATTTCTCAAGTCTTTGATATATGTTCTCAATGAGCCTCCAGAAAGGCAACACAGGCAGGCACGCACACTAACGGAGGAAGCTCACCTTGTCACCGGCTGCATCGACACTAATGGCATGAGGGCCACAGTGTTACAGTGTCACCCAAGCTCAGCTCCAATGTCTCTTTCAATCTTACTAATTTAGTAAGTTAAAAATGTATTCATTTATCTAGTAACCTTGTGTTTACATTACATATAAAGTTGCTCTCGTTCCTCAAGTCCACCCTATTATGAAGTCTATGTGAAAGAGAAACCAAAAAATGTCCCTCAGCATGCCTTCACTAACAGGTAAACAGGAGAGGCTGACTGTGCCTGTCCGGGAAGCAAGGATTTCGCGCCTCCTCTTCCGGGGCTCCCTCGTCATCTGGAGTGCTCTGGTGAGAGGGTGGAGCCTACCTGGGCCAGGACAGACCCCTTCAGAGCAGACTGCACGGCACTCCGTGAGGAAGGCACACTCATGCAGACCCCCAGGGACTGCACTCTTCTGCCACTGAAGGAACGCTTTCACTCTCTGTGTCTCCTACCCAGATTCCGCGGGTCATTTGTCCAAAAGGGAGCAAATCAAAAAAAAGAAATAGTGGCCGAGGATGGTGGCTCATGCCTGTAATCCCATCACTTTGGGAAGCTAAGGCAGGTGCATCTTTTGAGGTCAGGAGTTCAAGACCAGCCTGGCCAACATGGTGAAACCCCGTCTCTACTAAAAATACAAAAATGAGCTGGGAATGGTGGTACACACCTGCAGTCCCAGCTACTCATGAGGCTGAGGCAGTGGTATGATCCTGGCTCACTGTAGCCTCCACATCCTGAGGTTCAAGTGATTCTCCTGCCTCAGCCTCATGAGTGAGACTCTGTCTCTAAAAAAAAAGTAATACATTTTTCTATGAAAGAAGGAAAGACGACATACATCTGGTCTATACAAGCTGAAAATTAACGAAAACTGTAAGACAACTGCTTAAGCCTTAGGCCTATCAAGACAGTGTATGTCTGAAACGGAAACATTCATTGATAAACATCACTGGCCTTTTGAAAAACATTATATATTGGGCTGTCAACCAGAAATCCTATGTACTGTACTTAGATACTTCAGAATGCTCACCACTGGTCAGGATGTGAAGAGAGTAACAGAACACACACACAGCCCCTGCCCCCATTCCCAACAGGTGCATCATAGAGGAGGGAGCTGCTGATGACCTGCAACCTTAACGCAGGTGCAGCATGACCAACGAAGGGCCCTCTGCCACCGGCTCAGGCACCTGGTAACTTCAGCAGCTCGGCACCACACTTCCCATGGTTCTCTGAGGGACTGAAGTCACTCAGCAAAGTCTTCTCACAACAGAAGTTCAGAGATGCACTGCAACAATCTCATGTTTTTAAATCTGGTCAATTTAACTTTTAACCTTCTCAACTCTTAAAACTATATTCTAAATATTTCATAATTTAACTTAATTTTTAAATTTCTTTTACCAGAGGAGCCCAGTAGGTGTAGAGATAGCCTATTTTCAATGCTGGTACAAACTGTGAGCAGGATATTATCAGAAAATAGAGGTTCAAGAAAAACTTGAATTGTTCATATAAAACCTAAAAAGGAAAAGAGAAAATTAACAAAATTCCTTCAAGGAAAAAAACTTAATACCTAAATTAAACAATTGAAATCAGCACAACATATAACCACATTTCCATCAAACAGTGAGAATGTGTTCTGATCAAAGTAAAGTAATTAATTTTCACATTGGCTTTCTGATAGTTACATCACAAAGGAAGGTAAGATTACTTCCAAAACACATGTTAAATAAACTGAAAGATAAGACAATTAGGACTTTCAAGGACGTTAAAAATGTCATCTAAAAGTTTTTTATTTTTCTTACATGAAATTCTCTAGTTTTCCACACTCATTTACTAAGCTTCTACATGAACATCAAAAAAAAATTTAGAGAGCAAAACCTTCCCAATGTCAGCAAGCCAGTGTAACAGGTATATCTTGATAACGACTCAGCAAATCTCACAATGGACAAGTCATATTCCATTGTATTTATTCCACTGTATTTATGACATGATAAGAAACAAATAGCCACTTTTTTTTTCCCATGGACATCCAAGACATCCACGTAGCTTTACAAAGCCTGAGTGAACAGGTGTCGCTTCCCGAGATAGACCGGCTCAATCTCCAGCGGGAATTTACTTCCCTCAAAACATTAAAAATGGTAAAGCATAAGAATGTGTAATTGCAGACCAATTTTCAGGAAGACAGCAACCCACCTCCTCTTATGGTCTTTGGGTAGTTAATCCTTAACAATAGTTTTGAATATAAATGAAATTTCATCATTCAATAAAATTTTAGGAATGCCAATACTGAAAGGTTTTGGTTTTCAATTCAAATAGTTATCTTTAGGGAAGAAAACCCAAGATCTAATACTAATAGATCTCGATTTACAAATGCCTCAAATTATTAAAGTTGAAAATCAAAATGGAACAAAACTTATGTTTACAGATGAGAATAATTCAAACAGCACACTACAATTAAAATCAAATTTGCAAACCTGCAACTTACAAATAACAATCTCTTTGGATGCCATTTCTATGCCATTTGGAAGGAATGAAAATTTCACCAAGCAGGGCAATGGGTTAAGTGCTTATTGCTGACCTAGAGAGTCTGCGACTCGTTTTCAGATAATGAGGCTATCTGCATCATCATACAGCCATGTGTGAGACTCAAAATCAGTTACACTGACAATGCGTTTATGTTCATAATCATGTTCAACCTGCTGTCTAAAAATGTTTTGGATTATTTCATAAATTAATCTCAGCAGGAAATAAAGTGCTTTTTCCTTAGTGAGTTCTTTAAAATCTCAGTTAGCATAAATTATATCTATTAGCAATTTAGAAATTGCCATTCATGGTAAAAATGGCACAGAATTCCTACTGTGTAATTACCAAATGTTTCTAAAATACTATATTTTAGATGAAAAGACTAATTTCAGAGACAATCCAAGAAAAAAAACTCATGCACATGGTAATCATCATACAGTCACATCCACAGGTATTTTCAGCATGCAGCCAATCTGAGCAGACTGTGTGGACTTGCACCGATCAAAGTTAAGCTGCGCTGCTGGCTTTAAACTACTGTAATCAATACTCTACTGTCTACTGACTGAACCTGCTGACCTTTAGGAAAATGTATACTGCTCAGCCAATCTCTGAGATCTGTGAATATTTAATAATTTAAACCTAGGCAGAAAACAGTGGCTTCATTCAATAAAGATGTGAATATTTATCTGCCTATAAGACAGGTTACACTTTATTATCCTGTCAAAAGATCAGTCTTTTAATTATAAAGCCATTAGTTTTGTGAGTTTTAATAAAGAAGTACATTAGATATCAAGCATTTGCCAATCATTAGGTAGAGGGGGATGAGGTGGGGGTGTGGGAAAAAAATCAATGCCCAATACAATGTCAGCATGATTATTTAAATTAAACATACAAGATAAAGCAGCCCACATTCCATGTAATCAAGAGCTTATCTTGCAAACAAAAGACATAAAACATGCCAAAAACTTTGATATAGAAATATAATCAATACCAGCTTCCTTTTCCTTTAGAAAGATAAATAAATCTATTAAAATAAGGAATGTCACACAAAGAACAAAAATTATTCAACTATTCTAATCGTATAAGAACTGCTTTATAACTTAAGCTAGTAATATCACTAGCAACAAAAAATAAAATATTTAACCTACAGATTTAAATTTAGCATAATACCCAATTGAAGATAACTAATGATAACAAGGCCTGAGATTTATAAAGCAAAGTAGCAAAGACATCTAGATATAAATAAGCTTATTACAGATATTTTGTTATTGTATCATTTCAGTATAAAAAATTGTTTTACTTTTCCCTGTGAAATTTCTTTGCAGGCTTTAAACATTACATTCACTTTTCTCTCCAAACTAGTTCCCAGCCAAAATATATAACTTGTTTTCTGATAATTTTATTAGCTTTACTTCATTATGTCTATATTTCTAAAATAATATAAATATGTTTATCAAGAACTAAAGGCAATCATCGAATTGTTTCTTGAGCTGAACTCTATGATGTAGCCATTAAAAATACATATGAATTATTTAACAATTATTGGGACACAGATGGTCAAAAGCAAAAGGACACTGATTTGGATGTGACACAATTCAATACCTAAGTGAGATTCTCAACAGGCTCTGCCCCACGGCAAAGGAAGCTGGGATCCCTGACACACAACCCTCCACCCTACAGCAAAGGAAGCCAGGATCTCTGACACACAACCCATCTCCAAGAATGCAATGGTCTTACCCCAGGTATAAAGGTAAACACATTGTATTTTTGATTTTTTATAGAATTCTTGGGATGTTTTTCTTCACACTTTTCGGGACATCCAAGCCATACTGTGCGAGCTTTCAGTTCTTTCTTTCTTTGACAAATATTTATCAGCCAATCACAGCAACTGTGTGAAACAAAAGATATATATAGTGTATGATTTTTTGCTTTTTAGAAATGTTGATACTAATTGTACATATTTAGAGCCAACACCGGTTGTTTCTGTATTTACCAGACACTAATAACACACTTAATGCTAATCTATGGGGTTTTTCTTAAAATAGGTTGCTTATACAAATTTAAATTTGACATAAAAATACAAAGTCTTATATAAATATACAATAGCTTTTAGAACCCCAAGGGAATTATCTGTATAGACACCCTTATTGGCAAAATAAAACCACGAATATTCCGAAGCAGCCCATGTTCTGTATGTTGAGAAAAGGTATGGCTGTATGTTACCAGTCATTCCCTTACACCCTTCAACGATAAAGGTCCGTAGATCTCAATTAATCCAGGATGTGGCTCTTCTCTGAAGTAATAATCACTTTCTCTTTAAAAATGGCTTTTCCAGTAGCATTAACTAATAAAATATTAAGACTTACTGCTCAGGACTGGTATGGTTGCTCACATCTGTAATCCCAGCACTTTGGGAAGCCTAGGCAGGCAGACTACCTGAGATCGGGAGTTTGAGACCAGTCTGGCCAACATGGTGAAACCCCATCTCTACAAAAAATACAAAAATTAGCTGGGTGTTGTGGCACATGCCTATAATCCCAGCTACAAGGGAGGCTGAGGCAGGAGAATCGCTTGAACCCAGGAGGCCAAGGTTATAGTGAGCCAAGACAGTGCCACTGCACTCTAGCCTGGGCAATAGAGCGAGACTCCATCCAAAAAGACTTACAGCTCGATTCAATATATAAAGAGGATGCAAATGTTTCCTGTGATAGTCTAATGATAACAAAAGCTTGACTGCATTTCCACATAGCTCTCTTCATCTGTGCAGTAAATATTTTAATTCTAAATTTACCCTGTTCCAACAGCATCTGAGTTTCAGAAGCACAACTCTTCCCTTTCTTGGTCATCCAAACCATTATTTTGGAGTAGAGAGTATAGAGTTTCTAGTGAAATAACTTTTCTTAAGGAAAAGATTATCAAATTCATGTCTATTAAACATAAGATAATCATGAATTTAAGTTTCAGTATTAAAATTTTTGTTTAATTCCCATTTCCAAAATGTAGAGAAAGACTCAGAATGGTTTATTAAAGGAATTTGTTAAATCTCACTTTCTTTTTTTTTTTTTGGAGACGGAGTTTCGCTCTTGTTACCTGGGCTGGAGTGCAATGGCGCGATCTCGGCTCACCGCAACCTCCGCCTCCTGGGTTCAGGCAATTCTCCTGCCTCAGCCTCCTGAGTAGCTGGGATTACAGGCACGCGCCACCATGCCCAGCTAGTTTTTTGTGTCTTTAGTAGAGACGGGGGTTTCACCATGTTGACCAGGATGGTCTCGATCTCTTGACCTCGTGATCCACCCGCCTCGGCCTCCCAAAGTGCTGGGATTACAGGCATGAGCCACCGCGCCTGGCAAATCTCACTTTCTAATTGTATTCAAGACTAGAATAGAAAGCCTGCTGTGTACGTCAAAACTTCATTTTTGTAACAAAGCAAGCTTAGAAGTTAACAAAAAGTTTTCAAGAAAATGACAGCATGAGGCTGATTATAAAATGAGCCCATCTCAGAGCTCCATCTCAGAATTTCTGTCTTCCATGCTGGAGTGCCACACCTTTACTACGGTCTTAATGCTCTCATGCTTTAGAAATCACTTTACAAGTACTGAAAATGTACAGGTGCGCTACTTCATAAATCTCCCACAGTCGCGTCCCAGTTGAGGGCACGTGTGCGTCTGAACTGAAGGTGGTACTATTCCTATGAATAGCCACCTGATTCTCAGCTGTGCTAGGAAGATCTTCACACTGAAAGGTCAGAGGTTTGATTCTTCAGAGGCTGCCCATGCCTAACAGAGACTGGTACAGCATATGAGGGACTGCCAAACACTGCTCCCTTAAGCAGTGCCCTTTCACGGGGATGATGCTCTGCCAAGGGCATAGCCAAGCAAGTTAGCGCCCCAACCCTTACCCTAGAACTCCCATGGCAACACACAAAGATTGAGTTTCACAAGAATGGAACTTCTTAGCACTGCCATCATCGCTTTTGAAACAACAAACCCAAACATCTCCAAACTCAAAGTGTACTTTCAAGAGCACAGCAGTTATAAATCAGGGTGATATTAAAGTGATTTAAGGTTATCAAAACAAGTATGTCCACCATTACTATTTTTTGGTATGGTAGAGTAGGAAAGGAAATGGTCAGGTAGATTTGAATAAAATGTTGATAATATTTGATCGGTTCACGCTTGAAAGAAAAATTAAATAAGGCATCAAATAAAATAGAGTAAGCTTTCAATGACTATTTCTCTTCCCTCACCTGTTGCTTGCACCATTCAGCTCAAACGCTCTCACAAGGCCCCTCCCTCCAGCGTCCCCGCTGCCATGTCATGCAGATTGCCACTGTTTCGTGTGGCCTCCACACTGGCACTCTGTCCCCAACTCCTCCCGCCGACAGCAGCTCTAAATTATCACTCTTTTACCTGGTGACAGCACACACTCCTAGTGCCAGGAAAATTCTAGTTATGTTACATAAGAATTACCATCTCGGACACCTGCAACTACATTATACAATGCCAAACTCACACATTACACAGATCAGAAAACTGGAGGGCCACAGGCAGGTGACTTCTCTAAGACTAAATCACTAGTGAATGGCAGAGCTGAAACCAGAGCCCAGATCTCAACACCACACCACATCAATATCACGTCCATCTACTGAGTTTATGAGTTAACAACAGGCAGAGGCCAGCTCTTCTTCAAGCTCATGCACCGCCTGTCCTCAGCCCAGGCATGGCATCACAGTCATTCAAGAGGTGATGAAAAAAATGAATCATCTGTGAGCAGGCAACAAAACACAATGGAAAAAACATGGACTTTAAAGTCATGTTTTTGGAGACAAACGCCATCAAGTGACCCTGGTAAGCTCCTTGATCTAAGTCTTGCTCCTCTGCAGAGCACCAAGCAACAAGAGTGGAGTGAACACACTGTGAAGGCTCAGCATAACGCCGCCCACAGAGGATGCCCCTCAGCCTCTCAGTCTCCACTCTCCTGCCTCCCAACAGCCCACTCACAAGGTCACCCTCCTCACAACAGTAGCTTTGGCACAGAGTACCCAGGCCTGGACTGTCCAAATGAGCATCCATCAGCCACATGTGGCAACTTTCATTTCAATTAATTAAAGTTAACTACAACTTAAAATCCAGTTCCTCAATCACACTAGCCACATCTCAAGAGCTCAGTGGGCATCCCAGATGGAGACTACTCCATCACTCCAGTGAGTGCTACTGGACAGCACTGGCATCAACAGAGCACACTGCAAGCTGGGAACAGGTGCAAGACAGGCTTCAGATGAACACATTTCACTTCACCATTTCAAACACAGCAACATTCTTCAAGAATGAACTCAGATATGAATTTTTGCTCTACACCTACTCTGATGTTCTAGTATACAAAAGTCAGATAATTCAAAATGAAAAACCAAATATTAAGGTCTAAGTATTTGAAGATACATATAAAATTTAGAAAATATGAACTTTATAGCATTATCTGATATTAACATGTTCTTCCACAGACAAAAGACACTACAGCATAACATGAGCACTGTCAACAACAGCCACAACCTTACCCTCAACATCACGGCAAGCAACTACATGAACTAATGCCTCACTGACATGACTCTCACTCTAGAACCTCTAAATTAAATGCCCACTGCTAAAAACATATATAGTCAACATTTTACTAGTTTTTTCCTCTATAACCCTGTACCAGTAAATCTAAGATGCCTAGACTTTGATATGATTACGTCATTCCTAATACTGGGCTACTAACACCTCTTAACACACAAAAATGTCACCACTAAGTATTGCACTGTGTACAGACAGCATAAAGCAGTGGTTGAGACGCCACTATCACATCACGCGCTACTACACAACACTGCGCACGCACACACAGCACTGCGCACGCACACACAGCACTGCGCACGCACACGCGCCACAGGTGTGAGGGTGAAAGGTCAGCGGCTGCACCAGAACTGCCCTGGGACGTGCAGCCAGAAAACACTAGGCGGGGGAGCTGGGCGACCTCTATGCTCGGAGTAAAGGGCACGAGCCCCGAGGACACAGAAACGCTGTAGCAGAAACCACGTGTTTAAGTCTCACTGAGTGGTAGAACTAAGAAGGAAAAGGAAACGGGAACTTCTGAGGGCAGAAATGTGAGGAAGGCATACAGGCAAACACTGCAAAACAAGAAGGAGAAGCAAACAGAAGTCCCTGGAGGCAGCAGCTGGGAGCTTTACTCAAAGGCATCTCTACATATGCTAAAGACTTTCCAAATCACTGATTATTCAGAAACACTTTCCTCTTTATATCACCTTACATCAAGTGCAGCTGAAACTAAATCCAGTAGCGTACAAATTATATTTTTCCTTAAAATGTTTTAGGATTAGTAGCTTTTCACAAAATGCCTCTATAATCAAATCATATTATAACATTAAACAAAGTATTTTAATATATCAAGAGCCTGTCTTCTAAAATTTCAACTAGTCATAATTAAGTAACTCCCAGAGTTTCCACCTCCTTTCTCTCCACCGCTCAAAAATCAGACAATTATTATATCCAACAGATACCTACAGTCACCAATGTAAAAGCAACACAATGCTAATGTCTTCTTGAAAGATGAGCACTCACCCATGCTTCCCTAACCCCCGTGTCTGCCCATCAGCTGAGGCCATTAGAACTAGGAATAATCCCAGCATTTGATCCCTCCCCTCCCTTCTTATGGAAATGCCTTTCAGTGGCTCCACTTTCCTAAGGACAAAGTGATTTTTGATAACAAGTGAAATGTAAATCTCGTGAGAAAGACATTAACCCAGATGAGAGAACTGCACATCAGTGTGCCTCACAACAGCTTACAGACAAGGGTATTCACTTACATGAAAACAGATCCAAAGTGTTAAACGAC